CGTTCCGTAGAAAAGGGCACTGGGTTTTCTTAATTGTGCAACTGGCTAGAGGGCAGTGTCTCCGGAATGTGTCCCTGATGTTTTGCGTGCCCACGACCAGTCTCCTCTAGGCAGTGATGAAAATCAGATCAGTGCTTTGCAGGAGCTATAATATTCAGAGCTTGTCTCTAGTTTAGGAAACTGATATCCAGAATAGTAACAACTGAACATTCCTCTAAAGAGGAGTTGAAGGAAGCTGTTGTTTGAAAAATGTGGAGCTGATTCTAGACCTTTCAAGGTTCTTTAGTACGCAACGTCAGGGCCTGTTAGCATTAACTGGATAGAGTGCATGGTGCTCTCCACTAAACAACATTTGGACATGGCTTGTGGCTTCCATGACCCTGTAAACCAGAAAACAGAATTACTTGAGACAGCTTCAGCAACAACAACAAAATTCCTGAAATTTAAATACAAATGCCATCCAAACCGAGTTGTTGTTGTTGTTCAATCGCAGTCGAGTCCGACTCTTCGTGACCCCCATGGACCACATCACGCCAGGGCAAGTTACACCCTTCCAAGTCTGTTGAAGTCTTAGATGGGTATAAGTATGCTTCAGATGGCACTGATAGCATAGGAAATTATTGGGCAAACTGACATTAGTCTGTTTTTAATTAAATGTGTGAATATTATAATTGAAGGCTCACTACAGAAACCCCCTCCATGTGTCCAGGCAAAAGGAATGAAGCCCTAACCTCAGACTTGGTGGCCTCAACTGGGTGCAAAGATAGAATAAAAATTCTGCAAACAAAGAAACAGATCTAGGGTACATTCTGAGTGTTGTGACTGCAAATTATACAGACCTACCTTGATAAAGGCCCTAAAACTGCAAAAAGTGATAGTTAATAATGCCACTGTAGCTCTGAAGAGCAGTCAACAGAGCTACCCATATTCTGTAGTGTAGCTGCTGTAATGCAAACCTGCAAGATCAGGCTCTAGATTATGAAGACGAGCCTTCGTGACTATTGACAAAATGTTCCACTCTGGTAACATTTTGCTAAGCAAGCTAGCCTGAGGCAGCATTTATATAATCAAGGGAGACTGTTGGTATCTTGCATTTCATTTTGGGATTATGTTGCAGCATGCTGAATTACAGAAAGACACAGTGCTTCTCAAATGTCCCTCTGTACGAGGCACATTCTATATTTGAACAAATCCCCGTCGCTGCCCCACCTCTAGAAATTACCGAGCCGACTGGTTTTCAAACTGTGTCCCAGGGAACCTTAGGGGGTTTTTTTGGAAGCTTACCAGAGGTTCCTCGATGAGAATGGCACACATGCTTCTCTGTTAAATACCTTTGCTTGTTACCAACCTTGACTTATACTGTGGAGTTACTTCAAAGTAGTGGGTGTGATACAAGCCCTAGGGTTGCCCAGCCTCTAAGAGGAAGATTTCCTGGAAGTACAACTGATTTTCAGACTACAGAGGTCCATTCCCCTGAAGAAAATGGCTGCTTCCCATGGCACTATACTCTTCCATTATACTCTGCTCCGTGGCATTATACCCCCTCCCCAAACTCTGCTGTCCACAGGCTCCACACACACACCCAGATCGCCAGGAATATCCCAGCTCATATTTGGCAGCCATAAAAGCCACACCCTCAGTGCATGCTGGGCAAAGCTGAACACCCACAGGTCTCGTGCCCCCCATGAATCAAGTGTGTACTCTAAAGAATGCCCTCTCCTGGGTCCTCCTCAGCGTGTGGACGTTGTGTGGCAGACAAGTCAATGGTGAAAGCATTCCCTAAAAGTAGAGCGGTCTGGATCTAGACTGAATTGGTCATTTCCACCGATTCCCTTCTCCTGCTGCAGGCCCTTCTCCTGGGATTCTTCGTGGTCCCCGATTCCCCCGGAACAGAGTTCGTGGTAACCAGTGAGCTGGAGAAAGAGGGGGAGGCGGGAACGTTTCTGCTGACAGAAAATTTAGTCTGGATCCAACTGGGCCTAGACTATGAAGGACATGTCACCCTCTGCCCCTCCCACTAGACAAATAGACATATGATTGCCAGCGCCAGGTTGGGAAATTTCAGAAGATTTGGGGGCGTCTGGGGAGAGGAGAGGCCTCAGCAAGATATAATGCAATAGAGTCCACCCTCCAAAGCAGGCATTTTCTCTGGGGGGGGGGGACAGATCTCTGACATCTAGGGTTGCCAGCCTTCAGTTGGGGCCTGGGGACCTCCCGCTTTTACAACTGATCCCCAGCTGACAGAGAACAGCTCCCCTGGAGAAAATGGCTGCTTTGGAGGGGGGGACTCTATGGCATTGGCCCATGATGAGGCCCCTCCCCTGCCGAAACCCCGCCCTCTCCTGGATCCACCCCCAAAGTCTCCAGGTAGTTTCCAACCCAGTCCTGGCAACCCTACTGGAGATCAATTCCAATTCTGGGAAAGCTCCAGGTCCCAGCCGGCAGTGGTCCCTCTAAGCTGAGTTAGTGTGAGCCAGCTCACAGTTTTGTAGCCTCCGGCTCACACATTTATGTCTTCACTCGGGAAGGAGGGCTCCAGAGCAAACTAATTTATGCAGTAGCCAAATGGCTTGCTCACAACTTTAATGCCAGTAGCTCACAAAGTAGAATTTTTGCTCACAAGACTCCACAGCTTAGAGGGAACATTGGTCCCAGGCAACCCTAAAACAGAACCACTGATTACTGCAACATGTATTCAAACAGACATGGATTATATGAACAAATGCAATATCCTTCTATATTTGCAAGGCCTTGTATCCCCAAATCCTTTGCACCCAGCACTAGCATGATGCAATATAGTGACACTTGGGCCTGTGTTGCAAGTTTCCCTGCTCTTATCCCACAAATGGTTATGCATTCATGGTCACACATTCAAATGCACATGAGCATGTTCAGTATCCTCCAGGCTATGGACCCTTTATACCAAAGGTTTCACAAACTAGCCAGCGTAATTAACTGCAAGAAGCTGCTGCAGTTCTCAGATTTTTTCCCCCTGTTTTGTTTTATTTACTTAAACTGTACACAAATGTAAAATACTCTGACAGCAAACCTAAGTGAAAGTTGTTTGGTATTTAAATTATTATGGAACAGATTCTACAAGGGAGTTTATTAAATAAACAATTGGGTTTTCTTTCTTTCTTTTCTTAAAGTTTGCACATCTTGCAATGTCTGCTATGGATGATGATCTAGAAAAGACACTGACCCAAACACAATGGAATCCATTTGTACCCTGAAAAACACAAATTGGTAGGCCTCACAAGAGATTGTTCAGTATCATTACATGATATATAGACATACGATGGCCTTGCCACCTGAAAAAAAAAATTACAATTAATATGTTGGCCTCTTTGGTTCCAAAATGTTATGTATAATACATTTCACTGTATTCATTATTTTTTTCCTTGCTGCTATAAAAATAACCTTTTTTTTTTCAAATGGCAGTTTCTTTTGACTAAGTCATGCAAACTACATCAGTGCAAACATGAAAAGCAATCATTCGCTTTTTAAAAAAGAAGCAAAAGATTTAATTTCAAGTATAAAAAAAATATAAAAAGTCATCTCATTTCAGTCCAGTTTTCTTCTAGTATGGGTCAACACTTTAAATTGCATAGCTCATGCGGCACTTGTTTATAACCTAGAGATAGTGAGCAAAGAGAAGTGCACCGTCAAGTGCCAACCGTTCAAGGCATTGGAATCAGCAAGTGCTATAATAACGTGCATTCAAGCAGTCTGCGAGTGCTATGCTGTAGCAATGGGTTCGGAGCTCTCCAGCCATCCTCGGTGCCTTCCGGGAAGGAAACTGGAGTACAGACTCCTTGGTCTGACTCTCACGCTTTCTTTCTCTTTCTCTTCCCCAAGATCTGTTAAAATGTTCCTTGCCTGTTACAAAACGTACTGCGTTTTCTCTCCCCAGAAATGTATCCCTTGTATTTCCTCTTAAGGATTCATTGGTTGATATGTCATATCACAGATTTTTCCCCCCCTGTCCTCCTCCCTGATTGTCCCAAACATACCCTTGCTGAATCCCCTGCAGCGGAACAAAATTGCAACTTTCGTGGTTGCCATTGTTCTGAGAAACATGAAGATGGGGGGAATAGGAATGGCAAGCAAAAAAAAAGGAGAGGGAGAAGGATGGATCGGCTCCTTTCTGTATCACACAGCAGGGAAAGCAAGCCATGGGGGGTGGGGGTGGGAGAATCTAGTGGTGTGTTAAAACATGGAATCACACTGATTTATTGTTCAGAGGAACACTGCCACTGTTATCATGTACCTGTCTCTTTCTCTCCTCTCTCTGTGGGTTTTATCAGTATTCTCCACTGGAAGTGCTACAGGCCATTGGGGATTTTGCAAAAACAAAAATATTCTTTAACCTCAGTCAGAAGGGCTCGCCTTGCTTAGGCAGGCAGCCTGTAACTTCCTTTTCTTAGACCCCAGAGGTGATGGTGGTCATCTGTATGTTTGGTCACGTAAATAGCTGTGTGTGAAAATATATTAGACTGGGTGGTGGTGGTGGTGGTGGTGGTTTTTAACTTGCTCTTCCCAGTGGTTCTCTCCCAAACATGGCTGGCTGATAGAAGAAATGGTGACTGCCTCATTCACTTTTTTCTTTTTTAACCGCCGGCAGACATGACTACCTTCCTGTGACTGGCTTCCCTCCTCGGCCAAGCTGCTTTGTGCAATTGCGTGTGCGTGGATGTACCTGTGTCCTTGGGGGTGTGGGTGGGGTTAAGGTACTTCATAGCATTCATTTATAAGTGGTAGCGCATTTCCGTGTCCAAGAGCCACAAACGGCCACTGTCCTGACAACAGATGAAAATGATAATATATCTTGGTTGTTGTTATTGCTGTTGCTGCTGCCTCTGCAGTGAACAGAACTGCAGTGAACAGAACATCCACGCCTGGAAGGGGGAAACACAGCAAAACACCCTCCAATTCCATTCACTGTGAGGACGTACTCACCTCCCCCCCCCATTCCCTCCCCTTTCAAAGCACCCTCCAAATCAGGCGCAACCACATTCTTCCACAATCATATTAGGAACGTCCCTCTTCACAATGTTGTATTCATCATCAAAGTACAGCATGGACATGGAACTAAGTTTGGTTGGGATGCAGCAGGAGTTCACGGCATTTGGGTTCAGCTTCCGTATGCGGTACTGATTCACGACTGCGGTGTGAAAAGAGGAAGCTGATCCTGGGATGCCAGCCAAATAGTTTGGGCAGTTCCCCTCGCAGTAATTCCCATAGTAACCCAACGGCGCTATGATCCAGTCATTCCACCCAATGTGTCTGAAGTCAATGTAAAACTGTTGCCTGCAACATAAATCGGTCCTGCCATCGCATTCCAGGCCTCTTTTCCGGATTCGATGTTTGTTGTCAGCCAGCCGGGCCTGCACCACGACAAAAGGCCGGTGAGATTCATCCTCGTGTTCCACATAAACTGGCAGCACAGAAAACTCTTCACAGCCTTCACACTGAATGTCCAAGTTCAGTCTCCTTTCTCCTTTCTCAAACAGAGCCTGGATTGCTTCTGTCATGGGAAATGTATGCCAACCACTTTTTTTGAGGTCTACTTTCTTTTCGACCACATTCCACTTGTTGCTGGTGTCCAGGTCTTGGAAATACACTTTGACTCGAACTTTTCGCCGGCTGCCTTTCTCCAAGACATACGGAAGCAGCTTCAAGTAAAGCCACAGGCTGGCCTGAACAACAAACAAGTTCTGATTCCCTTCATTGGAGATAAAGAAGTGGAGACGCACTCTGGAGGAGGCCAGGTCATCTAGGATATAAAGGGGTAAAAAAACACAATGCTGTGAAGTCCAAAAGACATCTTTTATCATTCAGGACACGTCTACCTCAAATACAGTGCTAAAAATAACATCCAGAAATTATCGTCAACTAGAAGTGACAAAGCAGGCTAGGGGGTCTTGGCAGTCTTAGAAATGCATTACCTGAGTGAGATCTCAGAGACAAACTCATCAAGCTATAGGTGAAAATGCCATGTCCTTAGAAATCAATATGCAAGAAGCAATTAAAGTCAGATGGCTTGAAAGCCATGAAAGGAACCTTGAGAGCACCTGGGTGTTAATTAGATTTTTTTAAAAAAAGAAAAAAAGGCAGCCTTCATGTATAATTTCCCCAGAAAGCAGGGATTGTTAACAATCGGGCAACATTTCCCTGAGAAAGGATTTAGTTGCAATTTGGATGTTCTGTAATCTCATCCAGCAGCCCCATGATTCTTGGAAAACACAGGCACATTTTTCACCAAGGCAGTAAACTTCCCTGAGATGTACCACTTGTGGCTACAGGTGGGGACCACACGCCTGAATTCTTCTCTGTATAGAAAGTTCCCTGCACATAGAAAATCTGCCATTTTTTGGGGGGGGCGGGGGGAATCTCCTTCCTGATATGGTAGTTTTCTAGGTGGAACACCCCAAACTACCTCTTCCTGTCTTTTTTTTAAAACACAGTGTAGCTTCTCAGGCTATGGTGGAAGAATAGAGCAGGGGCATAGAATTTTTATTAACCTTTTCTTCTTGTCCTGATATCCTATCCCTCTGGTCCCCCACTTAAAATAACCCAAGTGTTGCATTTTGGTTTTTTTTTTTTAAGTTGATCACAAGAATCACAAGACTGCACATAACTTGTCATTTTACTTGAAGAACTAGGCCAAAAGTACCTTACACTCCTGATAGGTTGCACCAATGCCCGGACTCAGTTGAACTTACTTTCAAGTAGACAATCATGGTTTCAACCAGATTTTTAGGTTACTTACTCAATTTCTTAAATTTGAGTTCATGTTTGTTTAACAGCATTGCTGACCTTCCTAACCCCAATGAAAAGAATCTGGCACCATGACCTCTGTGCCTCTGTATGTCATATTCATCTGGTACATTGCTGCGTGTATATCAGCACCATGCCCTGGAGCTACCTATGTCCTACCAGTAGTCAAGTTCAAGTTCAAAACCTTTATTGGCATAGAGCCTACCAGTAGTCAAAGCATAAACCTACACACAAGATAGAAACTTATGAATAAGATAAGCAAGTAAAGAGGCAACATATAAAATTATCAGTTATATTGGCTTAGAAAGATAAGAAATATAGTGAAGAGAGAAAGAGAACTACATTATCTAAGAGATCTGCCCATCTTGCATCAATCCATCCATCTCTTCTTTGCCCCAGACATATCTATTACAGTGGTTTTCAAACTATTTATCTTAAGGGAGCCCTTTCTACACCTGTCGAACTGTTGAGAAACCCATAAAGAACCATTTGCCCTGGAACCCCAGTGTTCCCTCTAAGCTGAGTTAGTGTGAGCTAGCTCACAGTTTTTTAGCCTCCGGCTCACAAATTTTTGTCTTTGCTCAGGAAGGATGGCTCCAGAGCAAACTAATTTATGCAGCAGCCAAATCGCTCGCTCACAACTTTAATGCCAGTAGCTCACAAAGTAGAAGTTTTGCTCACAAGGCTCCACAGCTTAGAGGGAGCATTGCATGGAACCCCAGTGTATCACTAGGAAACAAGCCTATAGTTTCAAGACACACCGTTTCAGGCCTCACCATTGCTCGTGTGAGCTGAGAGCACAAGTTAACACACCAAACCTATGCTTGTGGCTGTACATTGCAGTGGAAAACCAATAAATACTGAAGAAACTTCATCCACTTTTACTGAAGAATCCTTAATTAGCTTCCAAGAAACCCCAGAATTCCCTGTAAGTTTGAAATCTGGTGGAAAGTTAGACAGAAAGAAAATGAATTCTTCAGGCAATCTGATTAGCTACAGAGATGTAGATATAAAATGGAGAAGGAGGGAGGGGAATGAGAGATACAGCTTGAGGCCCAAAGTGAGAAAATTTAGGCACTGTGGATAAAGCAATGCTGTTACATGGCTTTTATTCTGGATGGCCACTGTCAATATTTCAGAAGAAAATAGATCAAGAGTAAGACTGTGAAAAACAACAAAGATGAAAGTGCTAAGTAAGACAAAAAGATAGTTATTTTCAAATAGATCAAGAATGGGTGGATGGATTAAGTGCCATAAAGAACAGAAGAATTCTGTAAAAGTATAGCGGGATGCAAACCCAGTAATGCACACTTCTTCTGGTATACTCTCCAATGATCTCAGTGGTACTTAACTGGTATAGTACCAGGCCGGAAATGCTACCCCTGGGAATTATGAATGAATGCAAAATGGGTGACCGCATACAATAACACCTGGTGCTCAGGAAAGATGGATGGGTTCTGTACTGACTCACATATCTGCAGAGGACATGTAGATGAAAGAATAAGGAATAGATAAATGGAAAACAACCCAAAGAGGTATGGGCTAAGGAAAGAAGGGTGCAAATGAAAGTCAGGCAAACATATGAAGAAGATAAACAGACGGGATACCTAAGTGGGCAGTGTGTGCATGTAACAGATCATTGTTTATGTTAGCAACAGGGCTGCGTGGGTCAAGCAGGCACGTGTAGTAGAGGATATGGATGGTAAGATCAAATAGAAGAATAGCTATGAGGCTGAATGAGGGAAGAAAAAAGGCGAGAGGTGAGAGGGATGGAGATGGAAAGATAAAAAGGTAAATGTGCAAGACAGAGCATACAATATTAAGTGCAGTGCTTTTGCAAAGGTATTTCAAGGCAGGATAGGAGAGAATGAACAGATACATACTTTGATGGTCGGACAGGTATATGCATGCAGAAAATATAAGCATGGACCACTGAATGGATATTGAGCAGGGGTGGATTAAGGCTCACTGGTGCCCTAAGCACTGACCAATCTTGGTGCCCCCCTCCTTTCCACACGGACCCCCAGTCCATTTTAGTTGTTGACCTTTCTGGCCAGATCTACAATGCAGGTTCCAGCAACTGACAATTGAATTTGGCTCCATCATTTTACTTTTAAACATAGCCTATGACACTGTACCTGACCAACAAAAAATAGAAGATAACCCTAGGGTGCACCATGATCAATCTGCACTAGTTTTATCAATTTTTGTTTTTTACAAATCTTCATCCGGTTGTTGTTTTTTTCCCCTTTTCACCCTTTCCCCAACTTTGTGGTGCCCCCTTTGGCCCGGGTGCCCTAAGCTTAGTCTGCTTCATGGTTCATCCGCCCCTGATACTGAGGGATGGGAAGTTGGGGGAGTCTGTAGGTTCAAAGGGTAGATGTAGAGCAGATAACTGGGTGGATCAGAAGGCATGAGAAAGGACGGTAGTGGTGGTATCTGCACACAGGAGTTTAAGCAGAGGGGAAACATGGAATGACGGCGGCGTTGGTACAATAGATGGGCTACTGGATGAGGGGGGTGGACAGACGGATGGACAGACAAATACACAGGCTGCATGACTGGTCTAGGCAGAGGCTGGTCCACAAAGCAATAATTAGTGCAGAGGTGGAGCGGTCAGACAAGAGAGCTGACAAATCTGTGGGGCAAGAGTTTGGCCTACCCTGTGCGCATGCGCCCCACGAAGAGATTGGTGGGTAAGGGAAGAGCAGGACAGAAGGATGCGAAGAAGACAGGTCTGTGACAAAACAGAATAAGATGGAACGCTAGACGAATGCAGGGGGAAAATATGGACAGATAAGGCAGCCAAGCCAATGAAGGACAGTGCCTCTGCAAGACACGGGCATTTGTGTGAAGGGTAGGAAGTGCACCTCTAGACAAGAACGCTGGGCCTGCAAGGCAGGCGCGGCGGCCAGATGGGCAGGGTGGGCGCGGAAGGCATGGGGAGGGAGGAGGAGGCCGGGTGCCGGGCAATGCTCCCTCTAAGCTGTGGAGTCTTGTGAGCCAAATTTCTACTTGGTGAGATCCTGGCATGAAAGTTGCGAGCGAGCGAGCGATTTGGCCGCTGCCTAAATCAGTTTGCTCTGGAGCAATGCTCCCTCTAAGCTGTGGAGTATGGTGAGCAAAGATTCCACTTTGTGAGCTGCCGGCATTCAAGTTGTGAGCGGGCAATTTTGCTACTGCATAAATTAGTTTGCTCTGGAGCAATGTGTGAGCCAGAGGCTAAAAAAACTGTGAGCTAGCTCACACAAACTCAGCTTAGAGGGAACACTGCTCTGGAGCCCTCCCTTCCTGAGCAAAGGCACAAACGTGTGAGGCAGAGGCTAAAACACGGCGAGCTAGCTCACGCGAACTCAGCTTAGAGGGAACACTGCTCTGGAGGCACAACCGTGTGCGCCGGCGGCTGAAGAAGCTGCGAGCGGGCTCACCCTGACTGAGCTGAGAGGGGTCCCGGGTGCCGGAGCGGGGCGGCGTCCCACCTGTCTCGGCGAAGCTGATGATCTCGGAGGTCTGCTCGTGGGCCGGCGGTCCGGCGCTGGCCTGCCCGTCCAGGCTGGGGATCTCGACGCGGCCGTCGTCGCGCACCTTGCCGGCGTGGAGCTTGCGCAGGGCGGTGACCATGGCCGCCTTGGGCACGGCGTGGGTGATGTTGGGCCGGTCGCGCATCTGGAGGCGGCTCAGGATGTGCCTCTTGACGGCCTGCAGGAAGTCCCCGTCCACCGCGCCCGACTCCTCGGGGGGCCTCCGGAAGCCGCACGACGTGCAAGTCTCCTGCGCCGAGGCAGCTCCGGGAGGGGTGGGCGAGCCCGCCGCGCCCGGCACCCGCCGCCCGCTCGCCGCCAGCAGCAGCAGCAGCATCAGGAGGAGGAGGAGGAGCAGAGCGGCCGGGGCCC